CTGTGTGACGTAGTGAAATAGGAAATAAATTTTCAATAACAAAATAAAAATAATATATTCAAGATTATGTACCCAATTACAATGAATTGCTTAATATAAAACACTCCGGCAACCTTTTCCTTTCATGAACACTGCTTTACCGCAGAAAATACAAGCACGCGTCTGATGCGCGGTGTCGGACCTCCCGTCCCGTGACAATTTAACCGTCACATGGCCTGACGCCCAAAATTAAAACCCGGTCGGGCCGACGTTTGCCTACAGCACGTGAGATTGTCTGGCCCTACTCTCCGGACATCTCGCCCACACTCCTACACCCTTGCACACGTACAAGCTTGCCCGATGCCAAACTGAATGAGAACGCGGGCGCAGATGCGCCGGGTTAAATAGTTGAGGCTGACAACCCCCACCACTGTTCCATAGATAGACTCGAGGCCAGCCTTGCGTTTACGCCCCCACCACAGGCGTTCTTAGGGTTTGGCTGCCTGCTTTCGTTAAAACGAGGCTCGCCGGCAGCATCCTCGGAGTTTACAGCCTCCGTATTTTTGGCTTCTGCGCACTACCTGAGTCAACGCCCGAGCGCCAAACTCCGGAATTTCAGGCTCAACCCTTCCTCCCCCGCAGCGTACTTCACCAACCTAACGGTTCTGGCCTCATGTTAACGACGCCCACATTGCAAGAAGCTCCCAGTCTAATCGCCTGCAAATTGAATCTCCAGGAATTCCCGTCCTAATCTTATTTCCATATTAGCTAGCGTGTTATAGCCTCGAGTAACGGAATGAACTAAAAATACCGAGCTATCGGTTGAAGCAGCCTGGAAAAAGTGCCCACTCGGGAGTGTGACGAACGGGTCCAGATTCGAAGAGGACCGCCCGAAAGAGAAACCACTGCCAGAAAGGTTAAGAACAAAATAAACGGACAAGGGCGAATTGAAGGTTTTCCTTTGATTTCTCAACGATTTTCTTTATTTCCAGCATATAGTTATAAATATAAACTTTAATGCAAGAAATTTGTACAATTTTTTAATAATAGAAAAAGGAAGACGTTTATGAGGAGTTTTATAAGATTAATTGTAAAATTTGATGCATTTAAGTGTTTAATTTTTGCTAGTCATAATTATACAGGTTTGTTTTAATCATTAATTTTGCCAAAACCTTGTTTGGGAAGGAACCAGGTAATTTGCCGACAGTTTCCTTCCCCAGAGAAATCTGATGGAAAAAAAACCAGGAAGACAGTTCTTTATTACATCCACATTTCTGCCAATAAAGGTATCTTTTCATTTGTTTTATTACAGGTTACTTTTTGTGTTGTTTGAACCCTAACATTCCCCATTTCCTCCTAAAAAGGAATTTTCATTTCCCTTTCCCCTCTGTTGGGTGGTTATATATATATATATATATATATATATATATAATTTTTATAAATTACATATATATTTATGAATTGTTTACTTTATAAATGTTAACTGTAAGCAGGCGCGTGTCCACGGGGAGGGAAATGAGAGTAATTCCTCCCCCTCCCTAATTTTTATCTGTAACTATTAATTTTAACTTGTCGCAAACCTTCAAGCGGAAATATTTTCGGATAGTCATTAAAGCAAACAAAATCATATCGCAGAGTGAGCTGAGTGCAGCTAGCGACATTTTACAAAATCTGTAATCACACAATCGACCAACTTTCATTTTCTCCCCCAAAAAATTGTTTCTGGAACCGCCCCTGCTGTAAGTAAACCAATAAGTAATTTGTACCCAACATTAACGCAAAATGAATAAGAAAACAGCTAGTCGGCTGGGCAATTTCTGTGCTTGCGAGAATAATCGTGGTTGTTTTCCCGCCTTGCGAGAAATATCGTGGATGCGCCTTTGATCTGATGTGCAGTATTTAAAATTTAAATCATCTTGATTTTAACATGCAATCGTTATTGAAGAATATATTGTTAATAGATTGCTGATTTAAAAAAATATTTTTTTTACAAAAATACTACATTATTTATACTAAAGAAATATAAATTTTACTTGTATAGACAATATAGGAAATATTCGCAAAAAGTAGGTAGAAATGACTCCAACACCATTACTAGTGGCAACTACTGCTGAAGAAGCTTATGTATATACACTAAAAGTGTTATTCATAGTCTAACAGTGAAATAAGAGTGACTGATGGGATGGATGTTCATAAACACTGAACTCGTAAACCATAAACAAAATTATTAATTAGTCTGCCTCGTTATGCATCTCGGGCCATAAATATTGCAGTGAAATAGCAGCCGCTGGCATTTCGTCATCACATCAAAACGAACTTATTGGAAACAAATATTTCAATATTTCGTAACTGTAACAATATTTATTTTATTTATTTAACGTAACGCCAGGAGAAGTGTATTTAGTGCACTATTTAAAAATTAATATCAAAATATTAAATTAATATTGAAATATTATTAATGATTCTTCATTTATGAGTAAAAATGGAAGATATTGAAAATAATGGAAGTATTATACGTCTATAGTGTTATTTGGGGCAATAAGATGTAATGAATTATAATTAACATTTCCAGTTGTACAAATGTCCAATGTACAAATAGGAGTAATGAAGAAAATCAGTGAACAATTTTGAAACAGGTTGCAGCAGTAAACATTTTTCATGCAGGTTGCTTTGCACATCGACAAAGTTGAGTTAGTATAGATGATTATGTACTAGGCTCAAAGTTACGATTTTTTCCTAAATTGTAAGAAAGATCTTTCGCTTTTATGCCAGTCACGTATGAAAGCGCGGTTTTACACAGAACGAGACGCACTAGTAGCCCTTAACAAACGTTAAAATTATATCAATAATTTCTTGTCCTTTTCTAGAAATCAAATGGAATATTGACATAACAACTTCATCTTCTACATGTAGTCAAGTAATTTCGATTTCGACCAAAATGACAGATATTTAATAATATTTACATTGGAATGCCCCTTATCTTCCAACTTGTTGGAAATAAGTTTAAGATTTTTTACAAAAAAAATGCAATATCTATCAGAACTATCTGCGAACCAGTTATTGATTTCTCGTACGTTTCCATTCAAAATTCATGAAATAATTTCTTCATAAAATATTTTACACATTTGCTTCCGGATCACCTTCGAACGTTTGTTGAATGTTCCTTGTAATTGCCGCTGCAGTCACGAGATAGCAGCACAAGCAGGTTCCGCGCCGGCCATTTCGAACAGAAAATGGCGGCGCGCGGGCATGGGCAGCGGGCGCCACCTCCTGCGTCGCGTGCGGGCCGCGTCGCCGCAAACGCGAAAGGTGTATGCGCGCGACACGCCGCGTGTCGCCGTCGCCGCCGCTCGCTCGCGCCCGGCCGCGCGGACGGCGAGGGCGGCGGCGGCGGCGGCTGCTGGCGGTTGCCGGGTCGCTCGCTGGCGCGGCCGAGGGCGCTAGCGTCTGTCTGCGCCCCACGCCCCCACCGCGCCACCCCGCCGCCGCCGCGCACCACCCACGGCCGCACGGCGGCGCGGAGCGGCGCTGCGGTTTCGCGTGCGTTTCAAAGACGCTACTGCAGAGATGTGACATCGATGTTCAAAATTAAACCAAGGTGGTTTAATAAATTCTAACATTACATTGGGGCGTAACAAAATTAAGTTAACAGAGAGCTTGTTCATAAAATTATAAATAAGATTTAACAGAAAACAAAATTATTACGTTCAGACCACAAATAACAAAAATTTGTAATCTGTAGCCAGCAGTAAAAAAGTCACCGCAGGAAATGACTTGGAGGTAATTTCTGACCACGAAGTCGTAGATTTAGCTAAATATGCACTCTATTCATGAAATGCATGAATGATAACAATTGGTGCTCCCATTATGTTGAATAAACTGATAACTCTTCTTCCCCTTTCCTCGTCCCTTTTGCATAACCGTGCTCGTTTATTTCGTAATGAAAAAATAATCCGAATTTCCTTCCTTCTGCGGTCGGCAAGAATCGTCGTGACACCGCACAATGCCCTTGTGTGCTGCAGTCACTGCAAGGAACATGGCCGCGCCAATCCTACACTGTCAAAAATGTCATTAAATCTGTTGCAATTAATGTATTGTGCATGAAACGTAATATAACCTTGTAGATTAAAAACAACAATATATGTGTACATTGAATTTAATACTTAAGTGAAAATCAGTGTACATTTAATGTAGAGGTTATCCCGTTTCCGGGTTACATTTATTATTCTTTAGGACAAGTGACGAGTCGCTGCTCGACGTCTGAGTCGAAGGCATGTGGAAGCGAAATAAAAACTATGTGACAAAATTAAAAACATCAGAACAGCACACAAAAAATTTGCACAAGGGCGCAAATTACTTAAGAGTCACGAAAACCAAATGTGTTACCCTAGATTGTAATGGGAGGGTATGAATTCGTAAAAGTATGATGGCGAGAAAGTATATGGAACTTGTGGAACTAGAATTTTTCTTGAATGCCGTTCCTATCATTCCCTCGTTTTTTTTCAATTCTATAATTTCTTTCCCTCACGAAAAAACGATTTAAGAGGAAATCAACGATGAAACTAGATTCTCTGCTACATAGCAAAGAAACGCAAGGACAATTTCAAAAATATAATTGTTTTTATTAATTTTCATAACAATTTCTTACTACGCAATTACACCGTTTGACGTTTTATTTTGAATATTGAGGTATACAACGTAACACACCTGTAAATAACTAAATACATATGAGCGTAAAATAAAGAATTGAGGATGTAATGTGCATGGTTAATTGGATACGTTGTTATTTCTGTTGTCGTTGCTTCAAGCAATGTGCAAGTTTCCAGAGACAAAGAACATTGACCTTAATTACAGCTGCAGTAGAAACAATAACTAAAACAACCAAATCAATGACTGAAAAACAGCTGTAACAAATTAACCGTACCTTTATTATTGGTTATTGTAAGAATTAATTGTTATAATTAGTGTGTTCTTAAATATATCAGTAATGAATATCGTCAAAAAATGAACTTAGCATTTCAACTCATCTGAAAAGAATTTCATAATATTCCAATGCTGCTTCATGTAAGTCTCCTTCGCAGCGCGCCATGTTAGAAGGGCTTCTCTTCCTCAAAATGAATGGGCTTGCGGTGTAGACGCGCAGGAGGAATCGGCGGCTGACGTCCACCTCCTGTGCGGTCGGCACCACCGCGGTATCTGCGCGGCGCCACAGTGAGCCTAGCAACGACGCAGGTCTCTGGGTGGAGCCACAGACGCCTGAGGGGCTCAAACTCCTCTACATTGTCCGCGGTGAAGCCTCTTCGGAAACCTGCCTCCGAGCTGAAAGTGCAAACAACATTGAAAATTATACAAGCTAACTTAAAGAAGTATTTGCAGATTCAAGGCCAACTATTATCTTCGTTTGCTTCATTCAAGTCCAGGTTTCCTAAAAAGGTGTGCAATTTACACATATATTGCCGAGTATGAGACTAATACTATTTACCTGAAAAACAGTTATGCGATGGTATGCAAATTTCGATTGAACTTGCTCTGTTATCTGTTTTCTTGAATAAGCTCGATGATCACATCACAAGTTGGTGCAATATCCTTTTCACTTTCGCATAGGGTTTGAAGTTGATCATCTAAGAAAAGTGAAACCGAACTTGTATGAACAGAATATTGAATGAAAGAAGGAAAACCTAGAGAAACATAAAGCCTCCTAAAAAATTAAAATACCCTGCTCGTATTGTACGTGAGAGTTCATATTTCCCGTTCAGTTACCTGCTTCTTCCACGGTGAGGACGTACTGAGGATTTTTGAGGAATTCGTCTGTGTTTTCAAGATTGCTGCCTCCGGCACTACGTCCTGTTTTCCATGAGTTACACAGAACGTACATCTGCGACAAAAGTTTGGATCAAGAAAAGTGTTAAATTGATAGTAAACCATTGACATAGTACATACACATATAACATTGTTCTAATAAAATATCGATGTACGAAACTCTGGTTTTAGTTGTCTTATTTTGAAATTTATTGGATTAGACCTAAAAACAATATTCTTTAAAATAAATATATTTGTAACATAACAGAAACATACACTCTTTAGTAAAATTCATAAAATTATGAAAATATTAAATAACCAAAAGTCAATTTTTCGATGTTCTGGAGAACATTTTGACCTTATTTAGTGATTTTCGTTTTTTCTTAGGTACAATTTTTCTGGATACTTTTTAATATGTGAATTAATATATAATGATCTTGATTATAATGGAATCGGTTATTTTTAAAACCCCGTACGTCAGTTTCTTTTGAATTTTAGTTTTTTGTGAGAAATAGAAGCTGCAGGATAGATCCATGTCCCGTAAATCAGATGAATGGCCGTGAGGACAATGCAAAGTTTTAGTTTGGTTTTGAAACTGTCATTGACTTGCAAGGTATGTATGACTGTATATGTATGTATGTATGTATGTATGTTTGTATGTTTGTATGTTTGTATGTATTCATTGTGTATGACTGGGACGTATCTGCCTGAGAGAATGGTTAAAAGCGATGTTTAATACGGATATATTCTGACGTCTGATTAGTTATAGAAATCCCGTAAGTGATAAACTTTTAATTTAGACCAGCGACTATTGTACTATTGACACGAGTAAATTAAATATCTGCATGGCATTTTATATCAAGGTTTATGCATCAATAAGTTTAAAAAACAGACAAAAGTTCTCAATGTACTTAGCTATTCAGTTTTTCTTGTCTTCTCAAAACTTTACAATTCCTGACATGCAGAGTTTTAAAAATAACCGATTCAATTGTTAGTTTACAAAAGTGCGTTCTGCCTGATGAAGACCCAGAAGCAGAAGTGAAGAGGCGCGACAGCAACCCGACCGATCCGGGATCCGTTTCACGAAATTTCAAAACCCCTGCGTACCGTTTGGTAGCCGGCGTTGGTCTCGGAGTGACCGATGGGCACACACGGACGGGGAGAGGTTTTGACGAAAACCACTTTTTCCGTATCGAGGACCTACAAAGCGCGTTCTGACTACACTACATGTTCGAGGATGTAAAATATTATATACAGTAGCAGAGAGAAAATTCACACTTTTGACATCAGTGACCCACAAAACGTGTTTTTCTCTCGAAAAATAAAAAAGTATTTTTTCTTGCAGAGTAGCATAACATTTCATATGCCAAGTGGTAATTTTCGCAAACTAAAAATTACAGTTATTATATAAAAAATACATCTACGCAAGTAACCATACAAGGAACCATAGTTTTTCGTTACATATTCGTAAACTCGATATTCGTCGATCTTTTTAGGAATAATGTACTTTACTTTAATGCTATTTCGTCTCTAGATGTTAATCAAAATCTGTCATTTCCAAAGAGATCATCACGTACTTGCCGGGAGGTTGTTTGAAAGCAGTCTCCGAAGTCAGGGAAAGGTGCTGCCAACCAAAAATGTGTGAAATATTTTTTAAAATGCGATAGTTTCATAAAGAACTGACCATCATCTGCTCTCACGAAATCCAATTTCTTAAGAATTTCTTTGTCTACTCCAGTCCATTTTGGATCTCTGTAAATACAACACAGAGCACTTTTTCAAAATGTTTTTTCTCAGTCGGTGTTTATAGGAATGTAAGAAAAAATTAAGAATAGAGAAATAGAATTGGTTGGCCCATCGTACGTGTCGTTGAATTGGCCTTGCCACTCCCACATTCCATAGGGATTTCGCAAGCGAACCAGCTTCACGACAGCGTCACCAATTCGCACACAATAGGTACCTGTCACGGAATAGCCATGTGTATTGACAATTCCATCCTTTTCAGGACTTTTCCAATACTGCAACAGTATTACATTTCAGTACAAGTACAATATGCATTTCACTTCTCTTTTGTGTGAGGAAATGGCTCTAAATTTCTTTTGATTAAATTATGAATTTTTTAACGTGGTTGTTGGCATTTCTAGTTTCGACACTTACTTTATGGATCGTAGCAGCAACAATTAAAGAGTCGTGATGGGACGCAGTAGACAGGGAACGATTCAAGGAAATTGAGTCGAAGCTGTCATTGCGAAAACCTTGAGCAAGGTACCCCGTGAGAGACAACAACGCTTCACAGGGAAGGCCCCATTCGATGTTCTCGTAACTGCCATGAAACCTGTAAAAGTTACAAGTAGAAAAAGAAATAAAATAAATAATAGTAACGTAATAGTGGTGTGGGGCCATAACAGCAGATACTTTCTCAAATAGTATTGCTAACGATTATTAAATTAATATTACAACATCTATCCAAACACTTTATTATAATTTAAAAACTTCAAAGATGTAAATAAAATTACGAGAAAACCACTAGTTTTGAAAAATGTGTACGTTAAATATTTTAATGTCTATTATTGAATAATATATTGCAATAAACAAGAGACATCTAGATTTATAATGGAAGGTATTAGACAGGTTCGAAAATAATTTAACTTTTGCCATTTTCAAAATCCTAGTGGTTATAATGAAATCATGATACGCCTTTTTATTATCACAGTTTTGACTGTTTGAACATATATTATAAAAAATGAAGCCGTTCTTGAGAAAATTTAGTGTTTTATTATTTTACGCAAAATTGCGCGAAAACTACACATATATTGATACAATTATTCGTGTCATTATTTGAAGAGAAAAATTCATCGAACAGTTGTTATTGAGATGTACTTCTTGAACAATGTAGTTGTATTCGTAAATATGGACCCAAAATATTTTAAATATTGGCAATTTTCGAAATCGCCAATATTAATAAAAAATACAGGCGGATACCTTTTTTATAAGTGAATTTTGCTCTCTTCAAGAAAAAAAAAGAAAAAATGTGACGTAGGTTTTAGGAAACTTTCAAAAATATCTGAAGGCTCCATTTTAAATACAAATGCTGTAATTACATCCGAAAATTTAAATATCCCAATATTAAATTGAAGGGCGGCGACAACGGGGACAAATCCGCTTGGAGGAATCCGCCGCGCTGTTCACAACCAGCGAAGCAGCGAAAGTGTGGAATGCAATGGGAGTGTCCTGCGAGAACGTCAAACGCGCGGCGACAGGGTTTTGTACCTGGGAGTATTGCCAACAAGTCAAAAGAAGAAATCGATAAAAATCTTCAAAATTATTTGAACTATAAGGGAAGTACTAAGTCTGCATAAAAAATGGTTACATTTCGATTGCCAGACTCGAATCCCACCCAGGACCTCCCGATCAGTCGCTGCAGTAGCAATAGTTGTTGCAATGAGCTAACTCCGACGGTTTTAAGTTAGATACACAACATATTATTTTAAATAAATTCGAAACAACTCTCTAAATCTTGAAATCTGAAGGGAAATATACAAAATTGTAAAGAGAATAACTTAAAATGAGTTAAAACATATTGAATATTTTCAGAGAAATGAATTTTGTTAGTTTTCAAAGTTGTTAAAATAACTTTGTCGCAAGTCAAGTACTGGGTTAAGCATTCGAACTTACTTGGCAAATGCTTTCTCCAGCAAAGGCAGCCAGAATTCACCCTTCTTTGTGCAGTGTCCAAATACAAGGTTGTCGTCATCATCAACAGGTAAGTTATCATCGATGTATACGGTATTCCATTCGCCCAAATTCCAAAAACGGAATGCGATCAAACCCGTATATTCACTTCCACTCAGGTATTGATTTTCTGGGATGACCTAAATCAAAAGCACATTATTCAATAGTAGCTTAGCGCGGCGCCTCCGACGGGCATTTTCATAAATAAGATTTTAATTTGTACTCTGCACGTTCATAGTAAACGTAAATTATATAGTACAGTGCCCGGCGCGTCCATTCCCGAGCAGAGAATGTTACACGAAAAAGTATCTAGTAAAATACTTGATTACATAATCGTTTACAAAAATTATTCAACTAACATCAAACTGATGAATAAATTTGTGACGAGTCTTGTAAATTTCGGGAAGAGTGATTCAGAGCATTTCACTAATGTACTCTTAGGTGCATTAAAACCTTCAAAACCCTGTTTTTATATATTCTTTCCAGAAAATCCTAGGGAGAAATGTCTATCCGAAAAAAAAAAAAGATGAGTTTCTTAACACGAGATCGAGACGCGTCGAATGGCACTTTGTCTCGATTGATGGACAGAGCGACGGACGGACCGCGAGATAATCGAAATACCATTTCCAAGCCAATAAACGTTTTTATTGTAACAATAATTTCAATACTTAAAGATGTTAGTGTTTTACTGCAAGTATTTGGGGGGAATGGTGGTTATTGCGTACACAACAAGTTGAACGTGCAGAATAAATAAACAAACTTTGGAAAAATTATAAAAAGGCAGAAAATTCAGATGTCCATTACTTATTAGCAAAATAAGTTAATAATATTCTATAGCTTTTACATCCGAGAGGTTCATCTGTAAAGTACTGTGTAATATTAATTGTAAATACGACGTTCTAAAATTACTTGTTTACTTTAATGTAGATGATAAAAAGAGCTACTCAATTGTCAGGACGTTCCAAATATATTTTCCTCCCAGTAAATGCTTCCACGATGTGACCATTTTACTGTACAAACTGTGTTTTGTACAGAACTGTACTGTGTTTTAATAATTAAATTCGTTCGAAATCGTTCGCCTTTCCAATAAAGAGTCAGGGTGGAGACCACTGAATATCAACGAGCACTACATTCAAAGAATTGGTCGTCTTGGTAGCTCAGTTAGTAGAGCAACTGGATACAAAACCAGGAGAGACGGGTCTATTCCCAGTAGGGGCGACAATTCTTAAAAAAAAACAAAAAAAAACAACAACAACCTGAATTGCCCAATCAGATAATGTTATTAATCTTACTGTTATGCTTCCAGTCAGAATACCGCTGAACTTTTTCCAGAAAATTAGAGGTGGTGTAAACAATAATTTACTAATGGCAAGTAACTCAATTTTAAATAATTTTGTTAATGCGGCAGATGTATTCGGTCTCCGCACAACTATGTAAGAAACGTACCACTCATGAATGAATTACGCCCTCAAATCATTATGTCGACGTGCAACAAATAACGGATGCTGTTGAAGTTTGTAGACGAGGTTTGTAACCAACAAAGAACGTTTTTCGTGATATCGACCGTCTGCCGTTCAATTCTTTTCGAAGTATCAACTTCTTAAAAGAATAATATTTTAAATAAAATTAAAACATTAGGAATACGAGTGCTCATTCATCGTCTTGAACTACAACTCACTTATTTCAATTGTTCTTAATCGACGGAGGACAGTTAAAATTTGAAATTCACAGGGCCGCCGAGAAAATTATTTCAGTAAATTGTTTTCAGAATCTAAAACTTTCTAAGAATCTAAATATACTTTCTTCAGAATCCAAGTATACTGTATGTTCATTCCAAAAAACTATTATTACGAAACAATGTCACTACTAGTTAATACGATTTTCGTTGTATTCATAAAAAATCTTTTCATTTCTTTATTGTTTATTCAGTAGTTAGGACAAAACCGGGTAAGGCAAGGTAACGACACCATTCAAGATGAACTTTATTTATGTTCAAACATAAAACTTGTAGATATTTGTGTGATTAAATTCAATTTCCTCACCTGCCGAATGAGATGAGGGCAACGAGCGACAACTGCAGCAACAGACAAAAACCAGCAATCAGCCAATTCGCCCTGCATGACCCTGGCGTCCTTATCACTGGCGTCATTTACGAACAGCTGCGGCTTAAGATTGTTAACGAGTTCCTGCCAAGAAAGTGAATACATTTTCATCTCTCTCAATGTTGCACTTATATCCAAAGGTTTTTATTGATTTGTTGTAGCTAACAGATTTTCGGGGAGAAAGTGTTTACAAAATTCACTTACGTGTGGTCGCTTCCATTTTTTGACGATTGTGCCACCAACGGACATATCTGAAGGAGGAAACTCCTCATCTATATATTTCTGCGACTGCACCAATTTCAGTATTTGTACCTTTTCGCTTTCCTGTAACAGAATTGAAAATTTTAATTCTCTCTTACAATCCACGATATTCTGTAGAATACACACTTTTACATAACTTCTCATGCTCGAGACTGGCGAGGCAACTGTATTACGTTTGATATTTTTGACTTACGAAGTTGCATAGAAAATATAAAAAAATAATACATGAAAATACCTGCCAGAGGCGCCATGCCAAGCTAGTTATCTTTAAATTTCCATTTCTTTAAATTTCCTATCATTAAACAACCCGTTAATTCTGGTTACGAAACTTGTGATGTTTATTAGAAAAATTTATTCTGCTAAATTGGAAAATCGAAGTTGCGTTTTGTATTACTAGTGTTACAGACCTAAAATATATTATTATTATAATTCTTCTTCTTCTTGACTGGTCATAAATAGCAATATTCTAGATCTTACCCTGTCACATTTACCAAGTTTTTTTGCTCAAACGCTTATTGGGAGAGATTGCGTGGACATACACTTAATCCATCCATCCACCCAGACCATTCGATTTCGGTAGGGTGTAGTCGAGTAGCTTTTTTACACTCTGCATTACGAGTTTTTTTTCGCTCGTGAATTGAAATAGATATAAGATACCTTAATCAAAATACGATGTGCAAAGTTACAAAAGATACGTAAACATGGATTAGGGTCGAAATTCGATTATGGTATTGTTGAAGTGATTTCAAGGAGTAACGTAGAGAGAGAGGTTAGATAAGAAAAATTGTGTTTCTGAGGGCTTCCAAGTGAATTAAATAACGGTATCCTTATCTAAAATATCCACATACTTTCCGAAATTACTTCGAAATTTTTAATTTTCGCAAAATTAGTTCGTGAGAGGAACGAAAATTAGTCGATCGCGCCATTCTCTTAGGTTATCGTCTTACCAGTGGAATAAATATTGTTAAGAAAAATTGCTGCAGGTTTTGAGAAAATTTTTCTTATAAATTTTGCTATTAATTTCAAAAGTACAAAAATTGCGACGAAATGACAACTCTTTTTTCTCAAAATAATGACATAACTTTTTTGTATAGATGAATTTTTGAACAACATGTCTGAGCAAACACTCTCTATTTCATTATGTAGTTTAAATAATTAATCTTTTTGCAATTTCATAAAATATTGAAGAGTTCGAAAAAATAAGGACCAAACACCATATATTTTTCTTGGATACATACAA